GTTACATTTAGATAAACATTTCCTATGTATAAAGTAGTTGTGGGTAAACATGAAGAAAATATGAAATAATAAGACAGGTATAGACCATAATTATTTCCCTCACATGGATTACTGGTGTAGGAGGAGAAAAGCAATACTTACCTATTTGGTCAACCCAGTAATACAGAGCACTAGTTGTGAACATTAGCCTGGATATAGTAATGGTCTTTTCTTTTGCAGAAAAATCTTGAAGAGATTATAATAGTATTAATCTAAGAACCACAAGCACACCCACAGCCTCCCCCACCCCCACCCCCATACACATCATAGCCTGGCTAATGACAAACTCTGCCCACACATACAGAGGCATTTTCTTTGGTTAGGTGGGATGGGCAAGAAATGGATAGAATGGAAGATAAGAAAGTTATTATAGACCAGTTCTGTTCCTAATCAGAAATCACTACCTTTGTATCCAGCCTTTATAATTTATTTGTTGTGGTCATATTCTCTACATCCCAAAGGCTGCTGGATAGACATAAAATAATTTCCGCTTGACATTACTCATAAGAGGCAGTGTCTTGGAAATAATAATGTACGCAGAGAAAAGGAACACAATTTTCTTTATTAAATCTTCATGGAAACTTTTCAGTATCCAATATGAGGAGTAGGTTTCTCTGTGAAATGTCTTGCTCTTGTGTCTTCTTCTGTGAATTCTGAAGTCCCCATTTATGCCTTTAAAAAGTCAGATTGGTGGAATATTACAGGCTAATTTAAAATTGAAGTTTTCTTCAAATTCATGACAATTTTTTAAGTATCCAAGTTAGCAGCCTTTCTTGGACCACCAGCCCCCAAATCATGACACAGAGACTTATTATTAATTATGGATACTCCCAGCCTTAGCTTAGGCTTGTTTCTGCCTAGGTTTTCTTCAACTTAAATTAACCCATTTCTATTAATCCATGTGCTACCCTGAGGTTCATTTACCTCATGTATGTACTGTCCGGCTTACTTTCCTGCTTCCTCTGTGTCTGTATGTCTGGCCCCTGTCTGTCTGGCCCTCAATTGGCTGCTTATCCTCCAACTGGCTGGCTGGCCCCTGGCCTGCTGGTTGATCCCTGGCTGGCTGGCTCCCCTTTTCCTTCTGCCCACCAGTCTTGCCTATCCCTCTTCTGCCCAGTGATTAACCACTCAGCTTCTTATAAGATCAATCAGGTGTCTTAGGCAGACAAGGTGAAACAACAAGACGACTTTACATAGTTTAACAAATGAAGCATAAATAAATGAAACACATCTTTACATAGCTAAACAATTTTATTTTTAAGAAACATTACTATTTTACATATCAATTCACCATTCCCTCTCCTCCCATGTTCCCATGCCCGTCAGCAACACCCCTAACCCACCTCACCCACTCCCCAAGGACAGTGAGGTGTTCCATGGGGGCTTATCAAATTCTGTAACATCATTTTGGGGAGGGCCTAGGCCCTCCTTCCTGTATCTGGGCTGCAATAGTATCCCTCCATGGGGAATGGGCTCCAAAAGTCCATTTGTGCACTAGGGATAAACACTGGCTCCTCTGTTAGAGGTCCCATAGACGACACAGGCCTCCTAATTGGCACCCACGTTCAGAAGGCTTGGTTCCATCCAGTGGTGGTTCCCCAGCTTTACAACTGGAGTCCCTGTTCTGTCATTAGGTTAGGTCAGCTGTTTCTGCAGGTTTCCCCAGGCTGGTCTTGACCCCTTTGCTATTCCCTCCTCCCTCTCTACAACTGGATTCCAGGAGTATGGTTCAGTGCTTAGCTGTGGGTGTCTGCTTCTGCTCCCATCAGCTACTGGATGAAGGCTCTAGGATGGCATTTAAGGCAGGCAGTCATCAATCTCATTATAGGGGAAGGGCATTTAAGGTAGCCTCTCCAGTATTGGTTAGATTGTTAGTTGGAGTCATTTTGTGGATCTCTGAACATTTCCCTAGTTTCAGATTTCTCTTTAAACCTATACTGCTCCCTCTATTAAGGTATCTCTTTTCTTGCTCTCCCCTGACCCAGTCGGCCTCCTAACTTTCTGCTCTGCTAAGAAAAGATTCTTTATACTTAACTCTTTGTTCAGAATCAAAGTCTATGTCCATTCAGAGTCTTAGAATGATCCTACCTTGTTTCCCTCTAGTTTATTTTCTTGTGTTACTGGGCTCTGGCTCTTTCCAGACTCTTTGATTCCATGGCTATTCAATTTGTGTGCTGTGTGACCAGTATGATCCTCTTTCCAATATCTGGATGACTAATTTTATTTTAGTTTTTTCTTTTACCACTTTGAATTCATTTAGTATAGGCTACATTTTGACCTAGATTTTAGCCATTCAACCAAGATGATAGTCTAACTGAAAAGACAGATAAGTCCAATCTGATGTAGTGTTCTTTGTTTCTCAGTACTCAGAGTGGTAGAACTGAATCCTAAGGTGAATTGATTACCATGTTCTGGAGGAACCACTACACTGATTTCCATAGCATAGAAGTTTGCAGTCCCACCAGCAACAGAGGAGTGTTCCCATCCCTTCATATTCTCCAAAGCATGAGCTGTCACTTGTTTTATTGATATTAGCCATTCTGGCAGGTGTAAAATGAAATCTGAAAGCAATTTTGATTCGCATTTCCCTGATGACTAAAGATGTTGAACATTTCTTTAAGTGTTTCTCGGCCATCTGAGTTTCCTCTTTTGAGCATTCTATGTTTAGGTTTGTACTTTATTTTTAAAATATTTATTTATTTATTTTAAACCTGGACTACAGCTTTCCCTCCCTCCTTTACTCCCAGCCCCTTCCCTACATCCTCTTCCCCCCCACATCCAGTCTTCCTCTATTTCTATGCAGAAAAGGGCAGGCCTCCCATGGATATAAAAAAAACATGGCATATCAAGTTACAGTAAGACTAAGCACCTCCCCCTTCTATTAAGGCTTGACAAGGGAACAAAGTATGAAGAATAGAGTCCCAAAAATCAGCAAAAAAGTCAGAGACAACCCCTGCTCCCACTGTTAGGAGTCCCAAAAGAAGACCATTTTGAAAATGGGTTATTTGTTTTCTTGATATCTAGTTTTTCAGTTCTTTACGTATTTTGGAAATTAGCTCTCTATTGTATGGGTAGTGTATAAAAATCTTTTCTTATTCTGTAGGCTGCTGCTTTGTCTAAATGATGGTGTCCTCTGGTGTGCAGATGCTTTTCATTTTCATGAGGTCCCACGTATTAATTATTGATCTTAGTACCTGTATTATTGGTGTTCTGTTCAAGAAGTTATCTCCTATGCCAACGAGTTCAAGGCTATTCTCCACTTTCTCTTCTATCAGATTCAGTGTCTCTGGTTTAACATTGAGGTCTTTGATCCGTTTGGAGTTGAGTTTTGTGCAGGGTAAGTATGGATTTATTTGGATTCTTCTACATAAAGCTATCCAGTTTGGTCAGTAGCATTTATTGAAGATGCTATCTCTTCTCCAGTGTGTAATTCTGGCTTCTTGATAAAAATATCAGGTGCCCTTAGGTATGTGCATTTATGTCTGGGTCTTCAATTTGATTCCATTGATGAACAGGCTTGTTATCTTGCTCTGTGATGCAACTTGAAATTAGGGATGGCGATCCCTACAGAAGTTCTTTTTTTTATTCAAGATTGTTGGATTGTTTTAACTATCTTAGTTTTTGTGTTTCCATATGAAAATGAAAATTGTCCTTTCAAGATCTGTGAAGAATTGTGTTTGGATACAGATGGGGGTTGCATTGAATCTTTAGATTGTTTTTGCTTATGGCTGATTCCACCATATGAACGCTAGAGGTAATCCACAAGCATGGGAAATCTTTCCATCTTCTGATATCTTCTTCAATTTCATTCTCTATGTAGCACATTATCTTAATCTACCTCCATTATCAACCAGACTCTCTTTTACAGAATCTCAAAGATAGAAAAGGCTGAAAGAAAGCATTTAGTTTAATTCCCTCACTGATTTTATATGTGAGTTAAACAAAAAGGAAGAAACTTGTCCAAAATTATCC